TTTTCCTGCTGGCTTCCCAGTGGTATCATTTAGCCTGTTCTTCTCTCCCTTAGTTTTCCTGTCAACTGGAAGGTAGATCTCATCTGCTGCAGGCTCTCCCTTCATCCTCTCAATATACCTCTGGTGTGGTGGTTCCTGTCACCGCCCTATTGGCAAAGGGGGATCCACAGTCTCTGAGGGTGCCAAAACTTGCCTACAACCCCAGTTGCAGAGCCCACCCCCTGCCCCTGGCTTGGTTCTCCTTATCCCCTGATCCTATCCAGGCAGTGCTGCTGAGCCTGGGCTGGCCTCTCCCCTCCTCTTCCCTGCAGTCCTTATCCAGCAGCCCACAGGCCCAGCCCCCACGGCCAGCAGAGCTGTCAGATGAGGAAGTGGCTGAGCTCTTTCAGCGCCTGGCAGAGACGCAGCAGGAGAAATGGATGCTGGAGGAGAAGGTGCTGTCTGCCTGCTCGTCCCCACTTGGCGTGCCCTTGGCAAGGAGGCTAGGGTGGGGGGGATGTCTGGCTGGGCCCCCCCTCACGTGTGAACATGCACAGTTGAGGGGTCTGAGGTGGGCTGGGCCACTCTGCAGGTGAAGCACCTGGAGGTGAGCAGCGCTTCCATGGCAGAGGACCTCTGCCGGAAGAGCGCCATCATTGAGACCTACGTCATGGACAGCCGGATCGGTCAGTGCCCCTCCCCAGCCCTCACGGCTCATCCGGCGTCTCACCTGCTCCCTCCTTCCCCACTGTCCAGTGCTGCGGCTTCTATCCTCTCCTCTTGAAACTCAGCAAAGTTACTGATAAGACCACAGCCAGCAGAGGGGAGAGCAGGGCAAGCCCGTACCTGTGTGTCTTTCTCTCTGTTCTGTCTCTTATATCAGCTCCTCCCTCTCTCCGTGTCTCTGTCATCTCTCCACTCTCCGATCTCTAGTGTGTCTCTCTGACCTTCTCCCTGTGTCTCTTCTTCTCTCTCGCTCCCTTCTCTCTTCTCCCTGTCTCTTCTTTCTGCCCCATCCCCCTCCATCTTGTCTCACTGTTCCCTGCCTGTCTATGTTGTTCCATCTCCGGAAATTGTCATTCTCTGTACGTGTATCCCTTTTGGGGTCCTTACCTCGTCCTCTCCCCTCTCCCTCCCCTCTCCCACCTTCTCTCTTCTTTTTTCCCTCCTCCCCTAACCTTGTTTCTTTTGCTCCTTTCTTTCAAACCTTCTCCTCTCCCTGTTTTTTCCTTGTTAATCAGAATAGTACCGACTGACACGTGCTAAGAGTTGACTGTGTGCTCTGTGCTTCACATGCAATCGTATACATTTTTCCAGCTCCATGAGTTAGTTATTATCCTCATTTCTCAGGGCTGCACAGCTAGTGACAGCCAGGTTTCACATGGTAAAGCCTCTGCTCCCTACTTTACTTGGCTTCTTCCCGACTTTTCTTCCCTGCTTTCTGTTTCCCTCTTTTCTGCTCTGTCTCTCTCCGTCTCTCCTCCGGCTCTGCCGAGGGGGTGGTTCTCAGCCTGGGCCCTTGCAGATGTATCTGTGGCAGCAGGCCACACAGACCGCAGCGGGCTGGGCAGCGTCCTGAGAGACCTAGTGAAGCCAGGTGATGAGAACCTTCGGGAGATGAACAAGAAGCTTCAGAACATGCTGGAGGAGCAGCTCACCAAGAATATGCACTTGCACAAGGCGAGTGTGACCTACCAGCCTACCCGTCGGTCCATCTAGCCACCTGTCAACCCAGCCACACAGCCCGTGGGTCATCTGCCAGGCCTCCATCCACCCACCCCATTCACTGACCACTCCTTCACCCTCATCTTCCTATCCGCCAGTCACCTTACTGTCAGTTTAGTCTTACTCTTCCCTCTGTCCTTGCCTCCACCCACTCATCCATTCAAACACACGTTCACCCAGCTCTCCCATCGACCCACCCTGTTGTTTGCCCATCTGCCCCTTACGCATCTGATCATCTGCCCCGTGTCTTTCCACTCATTTCCTGACATACTGCTCTCTCTTTCACCTAATCCTCAATCACCCCTTGTCTTACCTTTTACACACCTGCCCAGTAACCTGCCTACCTGCTTGTTGTCCTCCATCTGTCCTCTGAACAGTTCATTTGTCTACCTGTTTGCCTACCATGGATCCCCCATGTGTCCACCCACATGTCCACTTGCCCATCCTGCCACCCAAATATTTCCCCCATCTCTGGGGGAGTCAGAAAGGATGCAGACCCAGCCCCTGCGTCTGAGAAGCAAGCTCACCATTTAGTAGAAAAGAAGGTGGCGAGGGTGGCGGTTGTATCCTCCAGCCACAGCATGCACAGCAGGTGATCCACTCTGCCTTCCATATCCCTAGCTCCAGAGGCTCCCTACCCCCTCCTACACACACACTTTTCTGAGCCCAGGCCACTGCTCGGGGCTCTGTGAGCTTCTCCAAATACCTTCCTGTCCCAGGCTAGACATAGCTGGGCATTGATTAATGCTTCCCCTGCCACCTCCTCTGGCCCCTGATGGCTCATTTGTTTCTTAGGACATGGAAGTCCTGTCCCAGGAAATTGTGCGGCTCAGCAAGGAGTGCGTGGGGTCCCCTGACCCAGACCTAGAACCCGGAGAAGCCAGCTAAAGACCTACAGGCTGCACCCACTCCCTCCCCTACCCACTCCCCAGGACACCATTCCCTTGGGTTGCGGTGGGAAAATGGGGCCAGCACCAAAATCAAATAGGTTGGGAGACTGGACATTAAAGGGGTTGGAGGCCTGATGGCTGGTGTTAGTGACCCTGTCCTAGGGCAGAGGCCCCTGGGGAGTGGGGATCATGAAGGGAGGGGCAGGGATTTCTCCTCCTTCTTGGCCCTGGCTACCAGGGGCCTTTGCCTTCATCTCTGCATGAACTCTCCCTCCCAGAGACCAACTCTTTTTTTATTTTATTTTATTTTTTAATTTATGTCTGGAAGCCTGGCTACTCTGCATTTGGGATTGGGGATGTTGGGTGGGGCACGGTCCATGTTCAGCATTCTAGCAATGTGTGTGTGTGTGTGTAAAGGCTGTGCAGCCAAAATACCATCTGGCCAGACAGGCCCACCCACTGACTGTGTGCTCTCATTCTTTCTAACCAGGAGGGATGTGCTTGGGGGGCGAGGGGAGGTCACACCACTGGAATGGGGAGGGAGGTCTCTGGCATGAGGAGGGTGGTCTCTGGCTGCAACTTTACTCTCCTTACCCCACCCTCGGCCTGTCTCCGGTTAATGTTGCCCAGCCCCCCAAACTGAGTGGAGCAGAAATATCTACAGATATGTATGTGGGTAGATGTGTATGGGGTGTGGGTGTGGATGAGGAGTAGACAGATGGGAAAATGGATAAGTGGTTGGATGGACTGATGGATAAATAAGTGGAAAGTTGCATGGATCGATGATGGAAAGGTTGGGAAATAAATGGACAGATGGATGGATAGGTGATTGGATGAATGAATGGATAGATGGATTGGTAGGTGGATAGGCAGAGGATGGACAGGTGGGGATGTAAGTGGACAGATGGATGGCTAGGGGAATGCATGGACGGGTGAGTAATGAATGGGAAGAGTAAAGAGTAGGTGAATAAATGATGGGCAGGGCTATGGATGGAGGGACAGATAGATGGGTGGAGGGGGATACATATGGATAGGTTGGTGAATAGTTAGGTGGATGGGGTGAATATACAAATGGATGAGTGAGTGGGTGGGTGGATTAATGACTAAATGGACAGATGGGTGGTTAGAGGGATGGGTCCAGTGATTGGTTGTGTGGGTGGGAGAATGGATGGATAGGTGGGTGGTTGGTGGGTGGAGGGATGGAGAAATGGACAAACCAAGAGTGTGATGAGTGAGCAAATGGAGGATTACATGGGTGGGTAAATCGATTGAAAGGCTAAAACTGGCCCTGCATTACTGCTCTCCCATTGCCACACCCCTTAATTACTAAAGATGAGGCTGCCTCTGTGTGCCATGCCCTGTGCCATCCCCTTTCACATCACTCTATTGAACGCTCCCAATGACACTATCAAGTTGGGGTAACTGTCCGACAACTGAGGAAACAATGCAAGTCACTTGGTCAAGGACACAGCAAGTCAATGGCAAAGCTGGGGTTAGAACCCACCCATGCAGGGCCGGCCCCATGGCTTAGCGGTTAAGTGCACCCACTCCCCTGCTGGCAGCCGGGGTTCGGATCCCGGGCGTGCACCGGCTGAGGCCGCATCCCACATACAGCAACTAGAAGGATGGGGGAAAAAAAATAAATAAATAAATAGAAGTCACTTCAAAAAAAAAAAACATAATCTTTAAAAAAAAAAAAAGAACCCACCCATGCTAGAGCCACTGGGTACCCAGTACTCTTGCCAGCCAGGAGCAGAGCCCTCTAGGGGAAGAGGCATGATTTGAGGCTCCTGGATGTGGACAGATGAGGGAGACTGCCCCTCAGATTGGGGCCTGCCTGGGAGGGAAACTGGTATGGGAGTGAGACCTGTCTTGTCCCCACCTGCATTCCCCTTACGCCCCCCCTTTTACATCCAAAAACAGAGAGAAGGACGAGGCTCCAGTCCCACAGCAGCAGTCTTGGTTAGAGCTGGGCGCTAACCCACGCCCCCCCCAGGGAGCAGCTTCGGGGGCCTGGCCATCTAGAGAAATGCCCCCCACCAATTTTCCCCTCATCCCCGCCTTCTCCAGCTCTTTTACAGCCTGGGGGGGCAGGGAGGGGACACAGCGCTGCATCATTCCCCATGGCACTCCGCTCTGGGGCCATTAACGGACGCCTCTCCATCGATTGGATCTGCTAAGTGCTGCTGATTCAGACTGGTGGGGGTGGGGGCCCCTGGGGGCAGAGGGGGTAGGAGCCGGGCAGGAAGAGGGGGGAGTCCAGGAAGGAGGTGGGGAGAACTGGCAAAGCTCCCTGCCACCCCCATTTTCCAGATGACGCTACTGAGGCCCAACCAGCTTGGTAAGAGGCGGAGTCTCCCCAGGGTCCCTCTTGGGCTGTCCTAGGGGAGGGGGCTCTGGGAGCTACGAGGCCCCTCCCTGCTTCTCTCTCCATCTCCCAGCAAGCTCAGAGGGGCGGGGAGTGAGAGCTAGAGGAGGAGGAGAACTCGGGCAGCTCTGCAGAGGGGGGCAGGAGCTCCGGTGTTTGGTACCCCCAGCCCCACCGCTGTGGCCGCTGCTGCAGCGGGGACACAGGTGAGGACGGCCCTATGGGGAGGGGGAGGGGGCCACTAACAGCGCTGTCCTTGTCCTTCCCTGGTCCAGCCCCCACGCCCTAGCCCATCCTGGGACAGTCCCCAGGGGTCCTGCTGGACCTTGTCCTTCCAGAGCCTCCTTCCAGGGACCCAGCCCCCTCCCCCTGCCTGTGCTGCCTTCTCCTCTCCCAGGCCTGGCTGTGGCTGTGGCTGTTTCTCCTCTTCCTTCTCTTCCTGCTGCCGCTGCTGCTACTGCCGCTGCCCAGCACACACCGCCAGCCCCTCGGGGTGTGGTTTCCCCAGACCAGCCCCCAACGGTGGGACGCAGACTTATCCTGGCCTCCCCCATCAGACTCCTGCAAGGCCCAGCAGCACCCCCTCCCTGGAGACACACCCAACTCCTTTTCAACACCCCACCTTGCTATCCAACCTATTTTGGGGGGGACCCCCTCCTCCTGTTATCTTAGTCTTTTTCAGTCCTCTGGGTGCTCTGTGGCTGTGCCCAACTTCCTTCCAATTGAGCCCCAGCCCTGTGGGATTCCCCAGGCTCCTTTCCTCCCACTGGAACTCTTGAGAGGATAGAGCAGGCTTTCTCAGCCCCCCTAGACACCCCTCTCCCCAGACACCTCTCAGCCTCTGAAAAATAACCCAGCCCCACATCTACCCATTTAGATACCCCACTCCCTTCTCCAGCCCCACTAGGCCACCCCCCTTCCCCAGAACTCCTGTAGAGTGTAGACAGCACCCCCCCAGGTTATTCCTCGCAGCTCTAGGCACTCCCAAGACACCTTTCAGCCTCTTTACAACCTCCTGGCTCTATAGCCACCCCTTAGCATGCACCGACCCCTTTCCTAGATCCACCAGGGGGTTCCAACCCCCTTATCTTTTCCCCAGAAGTCTTGAGGGTGTAGACAACCCTCCTCACCTTTCTCAGACCCTCTTGAACCCCCTCCAGACACTCTCAGCCTCTTTCAAACCCCTTTGGTCCCATTTCACCCGTCTGAATGCCCCAATCCCCTCCCCAACCCCGCTAAATGGTCCAGTCCCTTCTTCCTTCCGTCAGAACTCTTGAGAGTGTGGACAACTCCCCAGTGTTTCTTGCCCGCCCCCCAGACCTCCCCAGCCATCTCTCAGGCACATGCCGACCCCTCTAGAATCATCTCAGTCGCTCTAAATACTCCCTCAGATCCTTCTTGGCCCCTCTAGACGCCCCTTTTCAGTTAGGCAAGACATCCCCCAGGTCCCTCCAAGACCCTCTAAATGCCCCCCAAGCCCCTGCTCTTCTCTCTAGTTCCTCCTCCTGGTTCACCTTGGCCTCTCTAGACGTCCCCAGTTTCCTTGTGCGAGTGGCCCAGGGCCTCTCCAACCCCCACCATCCTGGAGACAGCCACATTTTCCTAAAGGCCACCGTCCCCCAAGTCTCCGAGAGCCTGGGGCTCGGCAGGATGGCGGCAGGTGTGGCCACGTGGCTGCCTTTTGCACGGGCGGCCGCAGTGGGCTGGCTGCCGCTGGCCCAGCAGCCCCTGCCGCCAGCGCCAGGGGTGAAGGCATCTCGAGGGGATGAGGTTCTGGTGGTGAACGTGAGCGGGCGACGCTTTGAGACCTGGAAGAACACTCTGGACCGCTACCCCGACACCTTACTGGGCAGTTCAGAGAAGGAATTCTTCTTTGACGCGGACTCGGGCGAGTACTTCTTCGACCGCGACCCGGACATGTTCCGGCACGTCCTGAACTTCTACCGCACGGGCAGGCTGCACTGCCCGCGGCAGGAGTGCATCCAGGCCTTCGACGAGGAGCTGGCTTTCTACGGCCTGGTACCGGAGCTCGTCGGAGACTGCTGTCTCGAGGAGTACCGGGACCGCAAGAAGGAGAACGCCGAGCGCCTGGCGGAGGACGAGGAGGCCGAGCAGGGCGGAGACGGCCCCACCTTGCCGGCCGGCAGGTCCCTGCGCCAGCGGCTCTGGCGGGCCTTCGAGAACCCCCACACTAGCACCGCGGCCCTCGTTTTCTACTATGTGACCGGCTTTTTCATAGCTGTGTCGGTCATCGCCAACGTGGTCGAGACCATCCCGTGCCGCGGCCCCACGCGGCGGCCCCCGCGGGAGCAGCCCTGTGGTGACCGCTTCCCCCTGGCCTTCTTCTGCATGGACACGGCCTGTGTACTCATCTTCACGGGCGAATACCTCCTGCGGCTGTTCGCTGCCCCCAGCCGTTGCCGCTTCTTGCGGAGTGTAATGAGCCTTATCGACGTGGTGGCCATCCTGCCCTACTACATTGGGCTTTTCGTGCCCAAGAACGAGGATGTCTCGGGCGCCTTCGTCACCCTGCGTGTGTTCCGGGTGTTCCGCATCTTCAAGTTCTCCAGGCACTCACAGGGCTTGCGGATTCTGGGCTACACACTCAAGAGCTGTGCCTCTGAGCTGGGCTTTCTCCTCTTTTCCCTTACCATGGCCATCATCATCTTCGCCACTGTCATGTTTTATGCCGAGAAGGGCACAAACAAGACCAACTTTACTAGCATCCCTGCGGCCTTCTGGTATACCATTGTCACCATGACTACACTTGGGTGAGTGCAGACTCTGTGTTGGGAGCTGCCCGATCAGTCAATTACACTCACCTTTCTGTAAAATTAAGGATAGAGAAATGGTCTCTATTTGAGCTTCAGTTTGCTCATCTGTAAAAACTGAGGGAGTTGGACTAATCTTCAAATCCTTCCCAGCTCTGACAATGCCTTGATTTTCCAGGACAACAGACTTAGATTCAAGGATTGTCTTAGCTACACTCTTTCTGTTGACTTGTTTTCTCTGGGCCTGTTTTCCCCTCTCTAAAATGAGAAATGATGATCCCTTCATCATGTAGAGGGGATCCAATGACATCACGATAGTGAAAGTTCTCTGAATGTTTCTAGCACAGGATAAATAAGGTATTGGCTTTCTATCACCCCTTTTTCCATCTTGAGCACCCCATGTTTCCCAACCCTCTAGAATCATCTGATGTGTGGGGCACTACCTCTATGGCTTTGTGATTCCTTGATGTTCCCCAGAACAAGATATTTTCAGCATTAATTTTTTACTGCCAATCCTTGAGAGGGAACAGTTGGGATAAAAGCATCAAATGGAATCACCAAACTCAGGTTGTTCTTAAAAACATTGTCTAGGGCAGATACTGTGATCCTTTTCTAAATTTCCATCACTGGGATTAGGGATACAGTTGCTGCTCAGTATCTGTTGAATGCATGAATTGGGCCTGCTCAGTGCCTTGATAGAGAGACAGGAAAACTGATGAGGTTTCTAAGGAGTAGAAATTAATTCTGGTTGGAGGTTCAGGATTGGATCGACAAACAAATATTAAGCCCTGAGAATGGGTTGGAACTGGGTATTTTGATGCCTTTACCCTATTCAGGCCTCACAACAACCCTAGGAGAGTGGGTGGCTGCCCGTGTCTCATAGTTGAGGACACTGTCTGAGATGACACATCACAGAGCCAGAAATGGCCAAGTTGGAGAGACTTTTAAGGGAGTTAAAATAAAGAAATAAGGAAGAGCCATCCTGCGGGGGAGGGGGACACAGCCTGAGCAAAGGCCAAAAACTGCAGACGCTGCGTTTCTGTGGAGGGGATCTGATTGGTCCTATGGTTAGAACAAAAGTATGCTGTGTGATCTTGAGCAAGTCAGTTATGGAACCTCCCTGAGCTTCGGTTTTCCCCTCTGTGAAACAAGTTGGTAAGGTTGGTTCTGCTCCATCTCTGTGGGAAGAGGGAGTGGCATGGAGAAAGGGAAGGGGGAGTTTCAAGGCGCCACCTTATTTTTTCATATGAGGACAGTTTCAAGGCTTCCCCTGGGAGAATAAGAAGGGATCCTACCTTACAGCAGGTAAGACAGATGCATGCAAAAGTAACAGAGCACTGCTCTCGGGACTCAGAGCCCCTCAGCTGGCCTGTGGTGGTGGGACTCTCTCTCCAGGAGGTTATAATTACTGCTTGTGATTTCCTCCTTCTCCCCTATGCTTGGTATTAATAGATTTCAAGCTGACTCAGATGCCTGGTGTGCTGCTCGGATGGGGGCAGCAGAGGGTAGGGGCTGAGGGACCATTTCTCATTTGACCCCCACTAGTGGCCAGAGAGGTCATTCCTCACATTTTGCAGAGCAAGGAATTGAGGCTCAGAGAGTTTGAGCACCTGGCCAGGGTCGCAGAGTGAGTTAGGTTGGATGGGATGGAGAGGGTGACTGAGAGGTGGGTGGGCACTTTTCTTGACCTTGGCCTACCTCCCACCACCCCAGCTATGGAGACATGGTGCCCAGCACCATCGCTGGCAAGATTTTCGGATCCATCTGCTCACTCAGTGGCGTCTTGGTCATTGCCCTGCCTGTGCCAGTCATTGTGTCCAACTTTAGCCGCATCTACCACCAGAACCAGCGTGCTGACAAGCGCCGAGCACAGCAGGTAACTGCACCTTCCATCTGAGTGCCTCCTGTTCCCCATAGCCCAAGCCAGTCTACTACTCTCGATTTTACCCACCTGATCATTTATCTCCTCCTCTCTCTGTAGAAGGTGCGCTTAGCAAGGATCCGGTTGGCAAAGAGTGGTACCACCAATGCCTTCCTGCAGTACAAGCAGAACGGGGGCCTTGAGGTGGGTAAGGGCCCGGACTGGGGTTGCAGGTGAGCATTGATGGGAGGAGCAAGGTGCTGACCTTATCCCTCTGCTCCATCCACTCCAGGACAGTGGCAGTGGGGAGGAACAGGCACTGTGTGTCAGGAACCGTTCTGCTTTCGAGCAGCAACATCACCACTTGCTGCATTGTCTAGAGAAGACGACGGTGAGGCCTAACGAGAGGTGGCGTGGCAGAATGAAGGGCGTCCCTCTGCTGCCAAGCCAGCCCCCTCCCGAGGATGGGAGGCTCACTGCTAATTGTGGAAATCACACAGGGCTTCCTGGAAGAGCCCCAATAGAGCTGAGCCTTGAAGGGTGGGCAAGGGAAGGGAAGAGAGAGCAACTTCCAGACAGGAAGGAACAGCCTAAGCAAAGGCCTGGGCATGGGGTCAGCTCCTGTGTGGTGCCTTGTGATAGTCTCTACCTTCTGCCCACAGTGCCATGAGTTCACAGATGAGCTAACCTTCAGTGAGACTCTGGGGGCTGTCTCACTGGGTGGCCACACCAGCCGCAGCACTTCTGTGTCCTCCCAGCCAGTGGGGCCTGGCAGCCTGCTGTCCTCTTGCTGCCCCCGCAGGGCCAAGCGCCGTGCCATCCGCCTTGCCAACTCCACTGCCTCGGTCAGCCGTGGCAGCATGCAAGAGCTGGACACACTGGCAGGGCTGCGGAGGAGCCCTGCCCCTCAGAGGTAAGGACCCCTCACCTGTTGGCCACCCCTGGGGAAGCTCAGAGCTTGGACCAGGGGCTCTGAGATTTCACGATTCCAGGCCTAGCAAGTCAAGCTTGAACCCAAATTCCTCCACGCTGGGAGCTTGGGCTTATCTGTCCTGGAACTCCTTATTCTTTTTTTTTTTTATAATTTTATTTATTTATTTTATTTTTTCCCCCAAAGCCCCAGTAGATAGTTGTATGTCATAGCTGTACATCCCTCTAGTTTCTGTATGTGAGACGCAGCCTCAGCATGGCCAGAGAAGCAGTGCGTCGGTGCGCGCCCAGGATCCGAACCAGGGCCACCAGCAGCGGAGCGCACGCACTTAACCGCTAAGCCATGGGGCCAGCCCATGGAACTCCTCATTCTTTATTCATTCTTTCAACAGACATTTATTGAGCACCTACTATATGCCAGGCACAGTTTAAGGCACTTTGGAGTTCACTTTAGGAGGTTAGTCACTTTAGGCAGTGAGTAGAACAGACAGAAATCCCTGACCTTCTGGAACTTATATTCTAGTGGGATGAGACAGTTAATAAACAAATACTGTACACAGATGATATAGTATGTTAAGTGCCAAAGAGAAAAATAAATGAAGGATGGGGGATAGAGAGTATAGAACAGAGTGTGATGCAGTTTTTTGTTTTGTGTTTTTCTAAGTTTGTTTTTTTGTGTTTTGTTTTGTTTTATTTTGTTTTGTTTTTGGTGAGGAAGATTGGCCCTGAGCTAACATCTGCTGCCAATCCTCCCCTTTTTGCTTGAGGAAGATTGTCCCTGAGCTCACATCCGTGCCAGTCTTCCTCTATTTTGTACGTGGGATGCCTCCACAGCATGGCTTGATGAGCAGTGTGTAAGTCCATGCCTGGGATCCGAACCTGCAAACTCCAGGCGACCAAAGCAGAGCATGCAAACCTAATCACTACGCCACTGGGCCAGCCCTCTATGATGCAGTTTTAATAGTGTGCTCAGGGAAGGCTTTGCTGAGGTGATGTCTGAGCCAAGACCTGAAGGAGGTGATGGAGTGAGCCATCTAGATATCTAGAGGAAGAGCTTTCCAGGCATAGCAAACAGCCTGGGCAAAGGCCCTGAGGCAGGAGTGCATCTCCATGTTACAGCCAGGAAGCTACTGTGAGTAGAGTGGAGTGAATGAGGGGGAGAATGATAGCAGGTAAAATCAGAAAGGAACAGGGACCAGATTTTGTAGATCTTACTGTCAACTATTGTGAGGACTTTGGCATTGTAAAGAGTAACCATAATAGATAACATTTTTGTGTGTGTGCTCATTATGTTCCAGGCACTATTCTGAGCACTTTGTATCATTTATTATCTCATTTACTCTCTACAACTACCCTACAAGAGGAAATACTGTTATTCACATGCTACAGATGAGAGAAAAAAGAGGTTGAGAGTGGTTACAGTGGGACCAGAATTCGACCCCAGGACTGACTCCAGAGCCCTCACTCTGTACCACCATAATTGAGGAGTCAGGGGAAGCCTTTAGCACAGTGCCAGGGACTCAGTAGGCACCCAATAAATGTCATGATTGATGTGGCAAGTATTAAGATGACTTTTTAAGAAGCTTCCATCTTCCCACCCTATCCACAGCCGCTCAAGCCTCAATGCCAAGCCCCATGACAGCCTTGACCTGAACTGTGAAAGCCAGGACTTCGTGGCTGCCATCATCAGTATCCCTACCCCTCCTGCCAACACCCCAGATGAGAGCCAACCTTCCTCCCCTGGTGGTGGCGGTGGGGCCAGCAGCACCCTCAGGAACTCCAGCCTGGGTACCCCTTGCCTCCTCCCTGAGACTGTCAAGATCTCTTCCCTGTGAGGGGCGGCCTCGCCCATCCAGAGGGCCCTCTTGATTCTTGGGGACTCCTTTCCAAAGCCATATTTTGGAGAGGCAGAGAGGGGCAGGCCTGGGGACCCCTTCTGCCCCGCACTGAGAACTATGCAATGGAGTTTCATGGAATGGCCTACCTAGTGGGGAAGTAGCCAGGGAATGGGAAACTTCCCCCAGCCCAGACAGTTTTCCTGGTGGGTGCTGAAGAGCTGGGCTTCCTCGCGCCCCTGGCCTCCTTGCCCCAGCACACTGGGACTGGCCCCTCTCCCTGAGCTGGCCTCCTGCATGCTCCTCCCCTCGGGCCGTTGGGCTCCCACCTGACATCTGAGCTCCGGCATAAGAAGGAGAGATGAGGCTTCCTCTTCTCTCTGGCCGGGCTGTGGAGGTTTGGAGGTTCAGAGAAAAGAACTCTCACCTCTGATCTGGCCTTTAGGAGAGGTCCCCACCCTCCACCAGGCCCAATAACTCCCAGATTCTGAAGCTTGGAATGCAACCACAGGCTTCATGAGCTGTGCCTCAGCAGTGACCTGCCACCCCCAGACCTTGGCTCAGGGGTCAGGCTGCCTCTCCCAACACACACAGATAGCACAAACACCACCCGCCTTCCCTGGCTGCTGGAAATGGGTCCCCACAACCCCATCCTCTGCTGGGCCCCCAGCCAACTCTAGCAATAGCAGTTGCTGCCATGACATTATGCAAAGCCTTTGCCCAGTTTGCTGCAGCATTTACATCTGCCCTAATCAGAGGGGTCACCTCTAACTACTCCTCCTTCTCTCTTCTCTGGTTTGCTCCCTTCCTGGGTTGGGCTGGAGTCTGGACTGGCTGAGATAAGACCTGGCAGCTAGCAAGAGCAGGGCTGTGTTTGGAGATCACGGGCTAATTCCATGTTCTTGGGCAGGAGTCCAGAAGCATCAGGGCTGGGGCCTGGGTTGTTCCTGAACTCTGGGAGTTGTAGGAGGCAGGAGGAACTTATTGATCTCCTCCTCCTCCTCCTCCTCCCACAATGCTTTTTCACATATTCCTCTTTCTTCTCCCTCTTGGGTCACCTTCCAGAACTCTGTGTCTGCTCTCAGGCTGAAATCTGGCATCATCTCAGGTTCCCTGTCCCCAGCACTGTCCCTGTGGAGTTGGAGGCTGACAAAGATGTAGTTTCCATCAGTCAATAAAATCTGAGAGGAGAGATGAGGCTGAGCACCTCCTGGCTTTGTGGGTTTGGGGGCTGGGTTGGGCTAGGGGGTTAACAATACTATGATTTCAAAGTATTGCTGGAGAAGGGCTGGTTGTGGGTAAAGGTACGGGAGGTGGATGGTTGGTGACGTGTTCTGGAAGATGGGGATCTAGGAGAAATGAAAGAGGGTGGTTTGAAGAGTTGAATCTACAGCCAGCAAGGCAGGCTAGGAGGTCGTGAGACATGCCCCTTGAACTTCATCTGCTCCAGCTCCCTCACTCACAGATGGGGGAACTGAGACCCAGAGTAGCACACGCTTGATTAGAGGAGACTTAAACCGAGGCTTCCTGACAGCAAACAGCTCTGAATTGAACCCTAATGAAAAGCATCTCTCAGTTTGGCAAATTCCCCTTCCTTGTGGATGTCTCCTACATTCTCTCTTCTGAGCTCCCGGGTACACTAGGCTAGTGTGTGACTGAGCTCTGTGGAGCACTGAGAAGACAGACCTTGGATTCAGGTCGACCTGGGTTCCAATCCCTGGGTGAGAAAATTACTTCTCTTGCCTCAGGTTGCTAATCTGCGAAATAATCATTCATTTATTCACCAAGTATTAACTTCATATCATGTGCTAGCCCTAGGGAGACAAAGATGGGCAAAGAAGACATCATCTCTCATCTACAGAGGTGAGCATGGAAGGCAGGCAATTAAGCGATTACAATACAGTACAGTAGAACTAAGATGGATAGATTATAGAAGCATGTAGATGGCAGGAGAACCTAATCTGGCCGACACACGAAGAATGAGTTGGAGTTAGCCAGGCAAAAGACAAAAGTATGAAAATGTATCAGGCAGAGAGAACAGCATGTGCAATGAATGAGCTGGAAGGTTAGAGAGTGAGCTCAGGGCCTTTGGGGAACTGAAATTAGTTCAGTACAGCTGGGGAGGAGAGCGTGAGGCTGTGAGGAGGGTGAAGATGCAGAGGTAGGCCAGATCATAAAAGGCCTTTGAAGCTATGATACAGGTTTTAGACTTCATACTAAGAATGATAGGGACCTCTGAAGGCTTATAGACAGGAAAGTCACTCTTAAGTTTGTGTTTCAGAAGGATCATTCTGTCTGTGGAGAGTGGATTATAGAGAAACAGTCCCAGAGGGAGGACGAGCAGTGAGGAGGCTTTTGCAGAAGTCCAGTAGAAAGGTGATGGTGGCTTGGACCAGGTAGTGGCAGTAAGAGTTGGAGAGTCAAGAGATTTGAGAGATAGAATGGGCAGAATTTGGGATTGACAGGCATGCAGGAGTTAAGAAAGAGGGAACAGTCAAGGTTGACTTCTTGGTTTCTGGCTTGGGGAAAGGCTGGATGGGGGTGCCATTCACTGTCAAAGGGAACATCAAAGCTGTTAGTGCACAGTGCCAGCCACATAGTAAGTACTCGGTGAAGGTTAGCTACAATTCTTATCATAAGTTCAGGTTTAGATATGTAGTGCTGACCAAATATCCAGTAGGGAGTGGGATGTATGGGTCAAGTGAGATGGTCATGAGAAGATTCCATGTGATAATGTGCATAGGCATTTGGCACAGTGCCCTGAACACAACAGGCCCAGTAAACGTGAGTCCTCTCCTCTCATTGTCTCGAGCAGAAAACACCACAATAGTCCGTTTATTACTGACATCCTTCAGGGAAGAACTTCAACTAGGGTCAGCATCTGAAGGGAGAAGGTTAGGTGGCACTCAGAAGGGCTTTCTGATGGTCTCACTGTCAACCTCTTGTATGGCTCGGCTCCTAAGACTGGTAGTGAGCCCTCACCTCTCACAACACCTTCTCGGTTCATGAGCTTATTGAACCCCATAACTACTCTCTGAGGGAGTCTGGGCAGGCATTATCACTCCCGTTTTACACATGGCTAACCCCAAATTTGAGACACAATGACTTGCTCGAGGTCATACAGTTGGTAAGGGTCCATCCGTGCCTGGAACTGAGGCCTCGAACTGGAGTCTTCCTGACTCCAAAGCCTGAGATCCATTCCATTGTACCGTCACGCAGACTAATTTATTGAGCATTTACTACGTGCCAAGTACAGCACCAAGCCCTTTACAAGCATTCATCTCTGATCATTAAAATGGAATTATCATTGCCAGTTTACAGAGAAGTAGAATTTGAGGATGGAGGGTGTTAAATGACTTGCCGGAGATCACTCAGACAGGAGGGTCAGAGCTAAGATTAGCTTGTAGCTCTCCAGTAGCTCAGTAGCAGGGATTTTACCAACCCCATTGCGAGACGCTGGCCAGCGACAGACCTGGTTCATAGACTTCTCGATCCAGGTAAACTCAGTTTCAGAAAAAAAAAGGCTGCGCTACGCCTGCGCACTAGCTACAGGGGCGGGGAGGTCAACCCGAGGGCGAGAATGCGGTGGTGCCAAAGTGGGCGTGTCTGTTTCCCAAACACCGACTGTCCCCACGGTGCATGTCTGTCCCAAGGTTGGCCTTCCGACTTGAATGACGGCCTCTCTTAACCAATCATCGCAGAAGTCAGCCTGTTGCCAGGGTGAAGCGGCGCCCTCCTCTCCGTCGGATGTGGATTTGCAGGTGGGTGGGACCGGAACTGACGCTTCAGGGGATTGCTATGCTCTGGGAGTGTTGATATTCTCGTCGGTCCGGCTGACTGCAGCCAAGTTAGAAGCCTGGTAGGGAGGTACTTTTAAAATTATCGTGCGTGGGGCAGGCTACGCTGTCCTGTCGCAGTACTCCTGCCTGCGAGTCAGAGCCTCGGAGAGAGAAGTAAAGAGCGGGACAGGGCCGACAAGAAGGCAAGGAACGAGGGTGCCGACTTGACTGAAATTTGAGACGGAGGGCACGGGAGGGCGAGCGATCGTCTCTGATTGGCCTGTGGGCGTCATCGAAGACCCACGCAGCTGCTTCGATTGGTTGCTGCCCGCAATTGTTGTGGCGGCGGCGAAGATTTTGCCCACGTACTTCCGCACGAGAGGCGGGGGCTGTGCCCTGGCGCGCGTGCGCAGCGTCCCGGGGCCCCACCCGGTAGTTCAAGAACCTGCGAGGGGGCGGGGCGAAGAGGTGCTTGTTTTGGTTCTGTTTCCTTTGAAGCAGAAGGCCGGAGCGAGCGTAGGAGTAAACTTGCTGGACTTGAAGAGAAGGCTACGACAAACTCGCCGGGGTGCCTTCAGCTTGGACTTCACATCCGGGTTCTCCTGCCGCGTGACCCGCGCGCCGCCGAGAGTTCTCGAACCGGTGCCTCAATCTCTTTATCCGGGTCCCGCCGATCCCATCGTGCTTCGCGCACCACAGTAGCCCCCTCATCCGGGTTCTCTCCCGGCGTGCCCCGCGCCGGGTTTGCTGGGGGGTACTCGGCGGTGCCGCCATGACTATTCTCCCCAAAAAGAAGCCGCCGCCTCCCGACTCCGACCCCGCTAACGAGCCGTCGCCGCCCGGGCCGCTGCCCCCGGCGCCGCGCCGCGGCGGGGGTGTGGGCGTGGGCGGCGGCGGCACGGGCGTGGGCGGTGGCGACCGCGACCGTGACTCGGGCGTTGTGGGGGCCCGTTCCCGGGCCTCGCCACCGCCTCAGGGTCCGCTACCGGGGCCACCGGGTGCGCTTCACCGCTGGGCGCTGGCCGTGCCGCCAGGCGCTGTGGCAGGCCCCCGGCCACAGCAGGCCTCTCCTCCTCCTTGCGGGGGCCCAGGCGGACCCGGCGGCGGTGCCGGTGACGCGCTGGGCGCAGCGGCGGCGGGTGTGGGCGCGGCGGGCGTGGTGGTGGGCGTGGGCGGTGGTGTAGGCGTGGGCAGCTGCTGCTCTGGGCCGGGTCACAGCAAACGGCGGCGTCAAGCGCCTGGGGTTGGCGCGGTTGGCGGGGGCAGTCCCGAGCGTGAGGAGGTCGGCGCAGGTTACAACAGCGAGGATGAGTATGAAGCAGCTGCAGCACGCATCGAGGCCATGGATCCTGCCACCGTCGAGCAGGTATGGGCTGGGGGTGGCAGGTGAGTGGGTCTGGTCGATGGGATCCCCGGGCTGGGTAGGGACCCGAGGAAGGTTTTTGAGATCGGCCCAAGGGCCCTAACATCTTTTCCCGGAGCTTGGCGTTCTTTTCTCTGGTGGTAGGGGTGTGAGACACCCTCTTTCTCCTCTCAAGAACTTGGTGTTAGAGGCCCCAGATGAGATGGAGGACTTAAAGATGAGGTCTGTGGTTACTTTGAGGACTCATGGTCGTCATTTCCGGCCCTGGGACCTCATCATGTAGGGCCAATAGGTGGGAACTCCCCAGGAGACACAGACAGGATGGAATGCTTTCTGAGAAGGGTGTCTCATGATTCTCCAAGGAACTTTGGTCTGTGTTCAGTGACTTGAGATTTCTTTTTCTCTGGGATAAGAGTCTAAGACTCCCTCTTCAGGGAACACAAGTAAGGTGGAGACTTCAGAGATGTCTGAGTGTCCCCAAGATACCTAAATCCTTTCGGGAGTCTGAGACACTATATAGGACAGATCTCCTCTACCTTCTTCTCAGGGGAACACAGTGCAGGACCACTCAGTGGTGGGGTCTGAGACCTCCTCAAGGGTCCTAAGCCTGCCTTCAAGGGCCTGAGACTCCCTCTCCTAGAATCATGGGCCTGACACACACATATACATCTTCTTTAGAGAGAGGGATCTTCTGAGCTTTTCTCCAGGTATATGAGACTTCTTTCAGGGAGATAAGATTTCCTTCCCATTGGGGACAAGGGTCAAAACACCCAGGGACCAGAAACTCTACTAGGGCATATGAAACTCATCTCCTTTCTAAGTTACAAGGGTCTATGCTTCCTCTCAGTGGTCTGAGACGTCCTTGGGGACCAGAGTGAATCTCTCTTAAGCTTCTGTTAAGCATTAGACTTTCAGCTTCCTCCCTGCCCTGAGCCTTGCTTCAAGAAAGTGAGACTCACTGTTTTGGATACTGGAGCCTAAGATCCCCCTGCTTATGGACTGGGGCTTTCAGAGACTGGGTCTGAAGCCTCTTCAGGAGACTGATACCCCTCCAC